GAGCCCACAAAAGATGCATCGTACCAACGGCACAGTCACCATCATCATCACACGCTAGCTTATGTGTCACAATACGTAAAAAGATAATATGTCATATAGTATAACAAACGAAAACTAAAAGGTAATGTAAGGCTAGACAACATATTATGCACCGGGTATGAGATCGTTGCTGAAGAGGGAAACGTAAGAGAAGGGGAGGGATAAAGAAACTCCCAACACAAATGCCACTGAGCTCGGCTCCTAGTCATGTTAACTGGCGTACCCAACAAAACGTGTTCATCGTCCTTCGGACCCCAACCAGGGAGTCGAAAGGCTCCAACTGAGACCAACTACGAAGTAGGGCCTCAATACCCCTTCAGCAAGTTATCGCTTGGCCACTTCTCCTCTTTTTCCGCCCAAAACCAGGGCGTGCAAACAGCGTACGATGCGGGAGTCGGTGTGCTGGCCTGCACAACATGTGGCGCAGCCATCGGAGCGTGGATCGTGACATAACGGTGCTGTGCGGTTAACTCGTTCTTCCTGTACCAAATAAGCGACGCTGAATACATTCACTGCTCACGCGGTGCTCCCACCAGACATGAGCTAAACTGTGAAGGCAGCGATGGCCGAAAGTAGATAGCCTGTTTACCTCTGTAGACCTGATGGGCCAGGTCTCGCATCCGTACAGGAGTGTTGAACAGACGGCTGCATTGCAAACTTTACCCTTCAGGGCGAAAGTGATGTCACGCCGGAGCCACCGGTGGCGGAGATTGGCAAAAGGTACTCGAGTTTTTGATATACCGTTCGCGACCTCCACTTTATTCCACGGGGGCTAGCATACCTGTCGAGACTTGAATTTCTGGACGCCTTCTAACTGACCACCACCAAGGGTCAGCGCAAGAGTGGGTCGTTGCCAATCGTGGTGAAGGACTTTGTATTTCGAGGGTGTAAAGCATCACAAGAAACGATTTACAGCCAGTGCTCATCTGTCAAGCGCAGCTTGGCAGGTTTGGGAGCTGTCACAGATAAGAGCGATGTCGTCGCTCACTAGGATGCAGCTCCACAACTTGTAGGTTTTGTCCAGTGAATGTAGTTTCTATGATTTCGTCAATGGCGGTTAAAGAGAAAAGGAGACAGCGGAAAACCTTATCTCATACTGCCGGAGATAATGGAAGGCGGTAACAGTTTGCCTTAAAATCTCACTCTTCCCGAGCTATGCGCGCACAGCGCTCTTATGACATTCACATCTTTATGCGACACATCTTTCATGAGCAGACAGTATATCAATCGAATGAATCGGAGGCACCTTCGATGTCGAGGAACATGACTATGGCTGGTCATCAATAAAAAGGGCGGTGTTCTAACAACTGGCGTAATGTTGAGATGTGGTCAATGCAGCCTCAATTTCGACGTAACCCGGGTTGCTCCTCGCGCATCTGGCTTTCAAGGTTGCCAGTCAATTTATGGAGGACGACAAAGGTAAGTCACTTAGAAGCAATTGAGATCAGACTGATTCCTCTGTGACTGCCGCATTTTGAACCGGGACCTCACTTGAAAATTGGGATTATAACGGAGCGGCTCCAGTCTGTTGGAACAGTTTCCTACGCCTACAACTACAATAATAATAATTGTGCAAACCATGCATAAGAGCAGATTTTCCAAATTTGAAGAAAGTTGGATGAAGTTCATCTTTTCCGGCAGCCTTGCTCAACTTCAACAGTCTGAGCACACATGCGACTTCTGTGGGTGAAGGCAGATCCAGGGGGACGGTCCAGTCAGAAGGGTGATCAAAAGCCAAAAAGTGTGATAGCAACTCTGGCCGATTAAAAACGTTCGGTCCAACCTTCCGATTGTTTTGACACCTTGTGTACCGGCTGTCCACACTCGTCAAGTATGGTCTCGCTAACACCAGGTCTCCTGCTGCCTGTTTCTCGTATCAAGCGGAACAACTTACGATGGGTACCAAGGGCAGCGGCTGTTTCCATCTCCGTGGCAAAATGAGACCACCACGCATTGCGGACTCTCTTCAGGCTAGCACGTAGTTTCGCCCTGAGCTTTGCGAATCTCATGGTATTCGCTTCCAAAGGGAACACGTCGGCGAGCATCGATAAGTTCCAGAGATTGCACAGAAACACAATTTGCCATATGAAGACATGCCTGTTGCTAATAACGTCTGGCGGATATGCGACCAGTGATCTTCAACTGTGTTCAGCGAGCGCTTACTCAGCTCGGATGCCAGCGTACTTTGATACGCATTCAGAACATCTGACTTGGCCAACTGACGGACATGGCGTCGTGGCGGACGTGCAGCGAAAAGCACCCGCAGGTGGGCGCAAACAAGTGCTAGAGCTCCAATTCGAGCGACAGTTTTGGACACATGCTCTCCAGCGGTAAATGATCGCGGTGATCGATTTGCGTGCATGGCTGGTTTGAGGCGGATGGGCGCCATGTCACTCTTCTGCAGGCGTTCTGTCGAAAGTTAGTGCTATAGACGAGCATCTTCACACAGGTGTAACAACCGCCCACCGTTACATTACGGGAGACAACACCGTGTTGGCCGTCCAGATGAATCCCGGCAGTGGACAATTTTCTAACTTGGGCGTTCAAATCATCAGCAAACATCACAGTATCTGTACCTTTTCTTTGACGGAGGAGCGCGTTTAATTGGTGACAGAAGTCTTCTTTCAGCGAATCAACACTTCAATTTGTGGGCGCGTAAGCCGCAATGGCAAATAGACACCGGTTGTCCCCATACGACTTCGAGGCTTTGAACGAGCCAGTCAATCTGACAGCGCACATCCGGCTGTCAACTGAGATGCAACTGATCATGACAGATTCAGCCCTGGTGCTCAGAGCAATGCCCACAGCGGCTTGACAGGAATTTGAAGCTGCATCATCTCCGGACAAACGCAAAGACAAAATACTGCCGGTGTCGCGTGTCGGAGATCGTAGGGTAATCACAGCACCCGAATGTTGCAGGCGTGTTTCTGATAAACAGCAGATGTCGATCGGTAAGGTCTCTAGTGTTCGGACAAGTGCTACCTGTTGGTCAAGCTATAACAGTGCACGTGTTGAGGTATGCCAGTCTTAAGGAGGATGGAGGGGTCCAAATTGAATCAGATGCTGACTTTGTTGGTTTAGCTAGACATGGACTTACCAAATGGTTAAAACTAGAAGACAAAGGCTTATCAAACGAAGATGAGGGAGGCCCAAGAATTGGGGAATTGTAAACATGGGGATAAAAGTGAAGTTAGAATGGGACGATAAGGATAACATAGCGCAAAGGGGGGAATAACACGAGAATGCCTGAGCAGTGGCATCCTCACCCAAACCCACTCTGCTCGATGCAGTAGATAAGACGCCGTTGATTATATTCTGCGACGAGCAGAGCATTAAGGAATTGTTTGAAGAGAAAAGCATTGTATTGTATTGCGTGGGCAGGATACTGCCAGGGTGCCCATGTCTAGAAAGGAGAACGATTAGGGTTCTCAACCAAAGCCTTTGGCTCAAAAACCTGACCGCAAGGCAGCGGAGTTTTGGCAATCGGCTACAGTAAGTCGGTTTCATGGAGTCAGAGGCCATTCTCATTCCAATCCCAAAACGCGGGGATCAGAAGACTGAGTTTGTGTGACATCTAACCATTGGCCAATCTGATATGAGTGGTTGTGAAGATGCGAAGGTACCACGCTGCACCGGTCACTGGATCATGAAGCACGTAAGCCGTCTCACCACGTTAAAGTCAAGTCGCGTCGCGATGCAGCTAACCCAGTTCTGACAGACGGTGCAGTCTGGGGACACATCATCGATGCGACTTGCTGGAAGAGGTAAGCAAATGTATGCGCTGTGCCTCATAATGTCAAGATGAGGCCTTAAAATCGGCCGTTACCTTCTCACTGCAGCATTGCTCATACCTGCAGCGGGATTTGTCAGTTTCCAAACATTTTCTTCCGTTAAACTAGTTACAAGGTCACTAGTGATGTCCTTTGTCGATTCTTGTAAATGGGCTTAGAATAGTGCGCATATCGCGCGAAGTCATTAGAAGACAGTTTACAACTTAAGGAAGCTTTGTCTGGAACGGTAAACTGACCTTGGACACTGCACCGTCAACAGGATGCGGATTGGGGATGGTTTCTTTAATGCCATCTGTTCCAGTTGTGTAATTTTGCGTCTTTTATTGATGTCGCATCAAAACACCCACAGTAGATATTGCAAATGCTGAAAATGCACCTTCTCGGGTATTTAAAGCGTAGAGTGACCTGAGTTGGATACCAGTTGTATGCACAGGGACAGGAAAGCAGGTGTACGAAAGAACAACATAGGGTACACGTCTGGAAAAGCACCACACAGCCGGTTCGACATTCTGAGTCAAGTCGGTGGTGCGCGTTCCTCAGTCCTTTGCCGGATTCCAACCCCATAACTTCCGGATGCTAGCAGCTTGTGTCATTGAGCCTTAGGTGACAGCGGTGGACCTGCATGACTGACAAGCACTGACTGCTGTACAGTTCGTAACTGGCATAGCAGTGGAGGATGATTCTCGCTGTATTGTAATCAACTACCAGTCACGCAAGTCCGCCGTTGTCACTCATGGCTTAATGGCACAAGTTGCTGGCATTCGGAAGTCATGTGGCAGGAACCAGCGATGTGCACATATGCTGACAGGCAGTGACAAGTTGCTGGACAAGATATCAATGCAAAAATAGATATTCCACCTTTATGGCACCAGTGGACGTTAAATACCAACCACGCCGTCGATGAGACACAGTAGTGAGGACGTAGCTTGAACTGAAAGATCAGGGTGCCTCCGATGTGAGTCATCGCGCAGCGTGACGACTAGCGTAGTGGACTGATTGTCTCCGGAACTTTGTGTTCCAATCAAATAATCATTACAATGTGGTATTTAACAAAGTCAAAGTAACTCGACTGTGTCCAAATGGTAAATAAAGCTTACCAATCGCTAAAAGGTAGGTGCTGGTGACTGCGTGAAGACTTGCCTTACTTTGTGCTGGCAACGAGTGGCTTACCTCGAAATGTTCCCGTAGACGACGAATGTCTGGTTTGGATAAACGGGAGAAGTGGATGATCTTTTGTTCCTTCGTTAGGATAAGGGGCTTTGTCCGAAGAGTGAAACACATGCGGAGTGTTGATTTCTTTATCATAAAACAGGGCAGGGAGGTCTGTCCATGGGGCGACGGCCATTCGTGGTGCTAAGATAGACACAAGATGAAGTGCGAAGACCGATAGCAGATCCCAGTATGGAAAACGAGTGATAACACAAAACGAACTATGCATGAATTAAAAAGTTGCCCAGAGCAACCAACTTATTGCGTATTTGTGTATAAGTGCGCCTCTGGTTCGCATGAACTAACCAGAAATACTCCGATATCGCCAACAGATCCATGAAGCTGTCTTGAATGCGGTACAAATAAAGGGATATGTGATCATTCAGCATCGCGATGGTATAACAATTTAGACAAAAAATGTTAATATGAAGGGACGTGGAAACAAACAAAAAACGAACACACAATAAAACAAGAAGCACATTACGATTTCCAAGGCGGTCAATTATAGCTAGCGGACGACGATCAGCTGATGTCCCAGAGTAAGCATGTAAAATGACACCGCTTAACCAAGCATTAAATTAGGGCCAACAATGGTGATGGAAACAAGTAGGGTGCAGTTAAAGCTGCTTCGCGGTTACTCGCTCGAAACATTGCCTGCGCAGCGGATGTACAGTACAAATCGCATCAACGCGTCGCTGCCGCGCGACCATCAAGTCGCGCGAGAGCTAGTTATACTGTGAGGTCGTCCGCATCTACGCAGATTCGAACCAGTGACTTCCGGATTACAAGGCAAGTGCTTGCTCCTTTGGTCCACCTGTCGAGTTTTCAGGTACGGGTAGCTCAAGGTGCGAATTGGAACCCGAACGTTGTCGCTTGCCGGCAAGCATCGAAACATTAGGCCACCGAATGGAATTAACACCACGCCGGCACGTCGTCCCGACGCTTCGCCGTCACCCGATCCCGACCAGTCGCGTGAGGACTAGGGATACGGCGAGGTCGCACACGCAACTACACATGTCCGAACTGATGACCTATGGATCACAAAATAGACGCCAAATCCACTCGGCCAAAGGCCGACAAAGTGGAATCACTAATGGGTAGTGGGGATTTGGGGGTAATTTTTGGAGAAATTTATCCCAGTTACCTCTCAGTCACACAGGTTCCCACACGTCTGGAAAAGCACCAGGCAGCCGTTTTGACCTTCTGGGTCACGCCGGTGGTGCGCTTTCCTCAGTCCTTTGCCGGCTTCCAACCCCATAACTTCCGGATGCTAGCAGCTTGTGGCATTGAGCCCTGGGTGACGGCGGCGAACCTGCGTGACTGACAACCACTGTCTTTGGTACAGTTCGTAACTGGCATAGCAGTAGAGGATGATCATCGTTGTATCGTAATCAACTGCCAGTCATGCAGGTCCGCCGTTGTCACTCATGGCTTAATGGCACAAGTTGCTGACATCCGGAAGTCTCGTGGTAGGAACCAGGGAGCAGTCGAAGGAACGTGCACCACTGACGAGACCCGGAGGGTCGAATTAGCTATCTGGTGCTTTCCAGACGTGTGGGAACCTGTGTGACTGGGGGGGGGGACTGAGATGAACTAGATCAAGATGGTAGCAGTAATAAATCCCATCCATTGGGCTCCCGGAATAACGCTTGGTTCGGGAACCCCAGTGGTGTACAAAAAGAACAAACATTCATAGTGATGTACACAGGTGAAAAGCGCAGCCTCCACCAAGGTCACGACTGACGCTGAATCAAGAGGTTGTCATCAACATTGAGGAAGTGTCCATCCGAGGAATGCGCGCAATGATTCGAATCCCAGTCAAACCACTCCGACTTAGCGAATTGAAACGAAAACCATATCAAAAAGGGAGATTATCCTTCAACCAGTAATACCAGCACGTGAGTAAATCGTCCCCACCTCCAGTTATCAAAAACAAGTAGGTGACATTGGCGCTGAAACGCCGTACAAAAGATCGAGGCGACAAACACAGGGTAATAGGTTGGAGGCTTACAAATACCTGAGCTCTGATAACAAAAATGAAAAATTGAAAAATATGTTTAGTGTCTGAATGTGACAAAATGACGATTCATATGCCTTTCATGTATTTCCCAATTTCTTTAATGAACTCGTTGGGAAGTAAGCTAAACAGGCAACTAATTCTCAGATTTAACGGATTGTAGGTAGAAAGAAACATTTAGATGAGTAATCCGAGAGGCGTACTGTGCAGTGCTGCACGCCAAATCCCCTTAATACACCTAAGGCGTTGTAGCTTCGCGCCATATCCTCAGAGGAATTCGGTGCGAGTTTGGGTTGCTGAAGGGGAAAAAGCGCTCAGATTAGCGGACCTCGAGTGAGCGCCGTTTCACAGCAGTGGTGGAAACATATTTAAAGCCGACTTCCATAACACACTTCTGCACAACGAAGACGGCAACAGATGTGTTTACCGAAAGCCTCAATAAAACAGTCAGAAGAATTCCGAATACCCTATCCTGTAATATGTTCATCCCCTCAACGAGCACCTTATAATTCAGACTACCTGTAACCCAACCAGTTTATTTGTGGTACTAATGAGTAGTGGGGATTTTTGTATAATTCAGAGATAATTCATCACGATCACTTTTAGTCATCAGGTCTTGGCAAGTCTGGAAAAGCACCAGACAGCGCTATTTCGACATTCTGGGTCTCGTCAGTGGTGCGCCTTCCATGAGACTCCTGCCGGGATCCGACCCCATGATTTCCGGATGCCAGCAACCAGTGCCACTAAGCCATGAGTGAAAGCCGCGGGTCTGCATGATTTACAGCCTGGCTCACCATCCACAGTCATGCCAGTTAGGAACAGTGCAGTGTACAGCAGTCAACTTCACGAGCTAGAACTTTAGTTGTCCCAATCCAGAATTTGTGTGCTTTGGTTCTTAATCCACATTCTCTGATCCGATGGCAACTCAATTCCGCGTTGACAAAGTTTTCAACTTCTGAACAATTTCATTATCGTCTAACATAGTAACGCGTGATGTGCTATCGGTGATTTGGAGGGTTTCAATCGCTACGCCTTGCGTCATTTGGAGACTGAGTTATGTACCACGTTGTTAGATTGACGCGCCATGAGCGCAGCACATATTTCCTCGCAATAATAGTGGTTCAATAATATTGCAATGTTTATGTGCGTGGAGAACACATAAACGGAAACTATTCCGTTCGTGCAGCATATTTCGTTCCTCCGTTCTCAACATAGGACTGAATGCTTACAATGTCAGACCATCACTGTGCGTAGCATGTAGACATCAACGGCCACGTGCGGATTTGCTTAGTAACCATTCTGATTGGTCAGTTAGCAAAAAATAGTGCCCAGTACAGGCCGCAGCGCATTGAGACGTCGCTAGATTGTTCCAAGTGTGCCTTGAAACCATATTTGTTGGCTATTTCGTTTGCACTGAGGTTGCTGATACGTTCTTCTTCCTTCTTGTTGATTTGAATCCGGTGGAAAATCGTTCGCTCAAGGCTTGCAAGTGGTTTGCCGCTTACCGATCCTGCGAAAAGTAGCGGCTCTCGGAACAACCATACCAGTGAGAGTTGTGCCAGTGCTCGCTCGGATACAGGACGCAATGAGCACTATATACAATTTGATCTGACATGGGCACCAACTGTCAAGAACATCCCCAACGTTTTCCCCTATATTTTCTCACTGGTCTCAATCGGTGCATCGTGTCCATGTACCAAGGCGTTCTAGCACCATTAGCAAGATTGGATAACATCTCGTCTCCAGGTGTCATAAATGGCCGCTCGTCCTGCTTATCTTGTTTGTGTAGCAAGTCTAGACATTGGCAGTATAGTGACAAATTACCTGTCTGCGCGTGTAAATGGCTCCGTGAGTTGTCCACAAGAGTACATCACTATTAGTTCACTTCCTCGATGAGGGTGTCATTCAGTCAGTTAAAGTAAATTTGGTGAAAAAACAGCTGCTATATCTTATTATGATCATGGAATTATACATGTATCTCCGGAACTACATCCATGAAGCGAGTAACTTTATTAGACGTCGTGTTCTGGACTGCTGCCGTATGGAAGATGGTGGGGAACTCAATAATCTCCAAGCGTTTTCGTAAAGCAGGGTTTCCTTGTCCTGCAGCAATATATTCTGAGACAGCAATGTAAAATGGGGAACTGTACCTTATGCAACCTCACCAGCAAGAAATTGTTTGGATGCTAAATGACTGATAGACCCATGATTGATTGTAATCTCCCAAAACAGTATAAATAAACGGCATTGGTAAAAACCTAGTAAATGGTAAAGTCTACTTCTGTAATATCCTTTGGCACAACGATAGCTCTCATTAAAAACAGTCAGAAGAATTCCGAATGCCCGGAGAGCAGTGCAAAACCCACTGCCACTTCAATTTTAGCAGCCGAGGATTGGAATAGTAAAACAGACGAAAAGCAGGAGCAAGATTCTGCAAAGGTTCTGACAAGGTATACATTCACAGACGTACATGGTGCTGTTGATATTTTGCGCTTTGATATGAACTCACTGATTGAACGTGAAGGAAAAACTAAATTCATCTTTAATTTCAGCTGCCAAGCAACAGACTTTCACACTAGATATATTTCCCACCTGGCGGAAAATGATAAGGACGGTAGAAAAGAGTGTGCGAATGGCTTTTATAAAACTTGTGGATTTCGCTGATTTTCAGGTTAGTTTTTAAAATGTTTACTAATATACTGTGACTTTATCAAATTTGTATTACACATAATTACCCCACAGCATACAATACCATTGTTATTGCTTTAATTAAAAGACTAAAACTGATTGTAGTTATCTGTGTAAACATTTAGTTCGCACTCGAAAGTGTCATATGCATGTGCAATCGATGATAAGTAGTGTCCCCTGTGCATGAACCTGTCCATGAGGACTGAGTAGAAGTCCCAGAAGCAGCCAGCAAAGTTGGTGGGTTGCTCTAACAAGTTTCAGAGTCAAGCAATTTCGAATTCTTTCCTGTTTCAGGAAAAGCGTCAATGATTAGTAACAAGTAACTAAGCAAGCATTGCCACCGACCTTACCACAAAGTGGCCGAGTGGACAGAAGGACCAAGCGATGGATACCACGTGACAACTGCGGTGTCAGTGGCGGCTGAACCCAGAACTCCATACCGAGCCCGCCAAACCCATCACAGTCTGTGTGTATCTCTCTCTGAATCAAAACACACACACTCCCAACAACAACAAAACTACAAAATTACAAAAAACGTAGTTAGGAGTGAAAAGATATAGATACCCAACTAGAACAAGAGAGACAAAGGCGGGCTCGTACTTTAAGATAATCGATGGAACCGCTTACCCTGCCTCCCGCCGTAAATGACACTTTGAATCCCCTCGCAATGTCCAACATACCACCTACTGTCCACTATGAGGTACGTTTCGGTGGCAATGCTTTCTTTAGTTACTTAAGATACCATGACTCCCATAGACGCTCTATTCCCAGACCCACGGAAAGAAAAATTCGAAACTTGCTTTGACACCTCATGAAACTATGTTTAGAGGCAAATACCCACCTAACTTTGCTGGCAGCTTCTCGGGACTTTTCTACATCAGTCCTCATGGAACGGTTCATGCACAGCGGACACTACTTATCATCGATTGCACATGCGTATGTCACTTTCGAGTGCGAACTAAATGTTTACACAGATAACTACAATCAGTTTTAGTCTTTTAATTAAAGCAATAACAATGGTATTGTATGCTGTGGGGAAATTTTAGTAATAAAATAGTGATAAAGTCAAGTATATTAGTAACATTTTAAAAACCAACCTGAAAATATCAAGCAACCACAATGTCTTATAATTTTATAAAAGACATTTATTTTTCATTTGCGCCCTATCGTTACCATTTTCCTGCCGTTCTAAATCAATTTATACCGCCAGTTGGAAATATATATAGTATGGAAGTCTGTTGCTTGGCATCTGAAATTAAAGATGAATTTAGTTTTTCCCTCACGTTCATATCAGTGAGTTCATATCAGTGCAAAATATCGACAGCACTATGTACGTCTGTGAATGTATACCTTGTCAGAACCTTTGCAGAATCGTGCTCCTGCTCTTCGTCTGTTTTATTGTTCCAATCCTCGGCTGCTAAAATTGAAGTGGCAGTGGGTTTTGCACTGCTCTTCGAGCATTCGGAATTCTTCTGACTGTTTTAATGAGAGCTATCGTCATGCCAAGGGATATTACAGAAGTAGACTATACAATTTACTAGGTTTTTACCACTGCCGTTTATTTATGTTGTGTTGGGAGATTAGAATCAACCATGGGTCTATCAGTCACTTGGCATCCAAATAATTTCTTGCAGGCGAGGTTGCAGGAGGTACATTTTGCCCATCTGCCTCGGGTCCAGTTTAAACTGCTGTCTCAGAATCTGTCTGCAGGACAAGGAAACCCTGCTTTACAAAAACGCTTGGAGATTATTGAGTTCTCCACCATCTTACATGCGGCAGCAGTTCAGAACACGACGTCTAATAAAGTTACTCGCTTCATGGATGTAGTTCCGGAGATACATGTGTGATTCCATGATCGTAATAAAATATAGCAGCTGTTTTTTCACCAAATTTTATCTAATTGACTGAATGACATCCTCATCGAGGAATTGAACTAATAGTGGTGTACTCTTGTGGACAAACCACAGACTCCTTTGACATCCATTTACACGCGCAGACAGGTAATTTGTCACTACACTGCAAATGTCTAGACTTGCTACACAAACAAGATAAGCAGGACGACTGGCCATTTATGACACCTGGAGATGAAATCTTATCCAATCTTGCTAATAGTGCTAGAACGTCTTGGTACATGGACACGATGCACCGATTGAGACCAGTGAGAAAATCTATATATATATATAGAAAATATATATATATATATATATATAGTGAGAAAATATAAATATAGAAAATATATATATATATATATATATATATATATACGTTGGGGATGTTCTTGACTTGTCCCCATAGACAGTTGGTGCCCATATCAGATTGAATTGTATATGGTGCTCATTGCGTCCTGTATCCGAGCGAGCACTGGCACAGCTCTCACTGGTATGGTTGTTCCGAGAGCCGCTACTTTTCGCAAGATCGGTAAGCGGCAAACCACTTGCAAGCCTTGAGCGAACGATTTTCCACCGGAATCAAATCAACAAGAAGGCCGACACCAAATAACGGTACTATTTTCATACATTTAGAAACAAATACAATACAGTATTACGTGCTTACAACACGAACGTATCAGCAACTTCAGTGCAAACGAAATAGCCAACAAATATGGCTTCAAGTCGCTTTTGGAACAATATAGCGACGTCTCAATGCGCTGCGGCCTGTACCGGGCACTATTTTTTACTAACTGACCCATCAGAATGCTTACTAAACAAATCTGCATGTGGCCGTTGATATCTACATGCAACGCACAGTGATGGTCTGACATTGTAAGCATTCAATCCTATGTTGAGAACGGAGGAACGAAAACAATATGTTGCACCAACGGAATAGTTTCCCTTTATGTGTCCTCCACGCACATCAACATTGCAATATTATTGGACCACTATTATTGCGAGGAAATATGTGCTGCGCTCATGGCGCGTCAATCTAACAACTTGGTATACAAATCAATCTTTAACTGACGCAAGGGGTAGCGATTGAAACCCTCCAAATCACCGATAGCACATCAGGCGTTACTATGTTAGGCGCCAATGAAATTGTTCAGAAGTCGAAAACTTTGTCAACGTGGAATTGAGTTGCCATCCGATCAGAGAATGTGGAGTAAGAGCCAAAGCACACAAATTCTGGATTGGGACAGCTAAAGTTCTAGCTCGTGGAGTTGACTGCTGTCCACTGCACAGTTCCTAATTCGCATGGCAGTGGATCGTGCCCTGGGCTGTAAATCAGGCGGGCGCGCGGCTGTCACTCATGGCTTAGTGGCAGTGGCTGCTGGCATCCGGAAATCATGGGGTCGGATCCCGGCAGGAGTCCCATGGAAGCCGCACCACTGACGAGACCCAGAATCTCGAAATAGTGCTGTCTGGTGCTTTTCCAAACTTGCCAAGACCTGATGACTAAAAGTGATCGTGATGAATTATCTCTGAAGTATACAAAAATCCCCACTACTTATTAGTAATCCAAATAAAATAGTTGGTTTATAGGTAGTCTGAATTATAAAGGGCTCTTTGTGGTATGAACATATTACGGGATAGGGTATTCGGAATTCCTCTGACTGTTTTATTGAGAGCTTTCGGTAAACACATCTGTTGCCGTCTTCCTTATGCAGAAGTGTATTATGGAAGTCGGTTTTAAATATGTTTCCACCACTGCTGTAAAACGGCGCTTACTCGAGGTCCACTAATCAGCGCTTTTTTCCCCTTCATCAACCCATACTCGCACCGAATTCCTTTGAGGATAGGGGCGCGATAGGGGATATGGATTGGGGATAGGGCGCGAAGCTACAACGGCTTAGGTGAAGTAAGGGGATTTGGCGTGCAGCACTGTACAGTACGCCTTTCGGATTACTCATCCAAATGTTTCTTTCTACCTACAATCCGTTAAATCTGAGAATTAGTTGCCTGTTTAGGTTACTTCCCAACCAGTTCATTAAAGAGACTGAGGAACACATGAAAGGTGTATGAATCGTCATTTTGTCGTATTCAGACACTAAACATATTTTTCATTTTTGCAATTTTGTAATTAGAGCTCAGGTTTTTGTCAGCCTTCAACCTATTACCCTATGTTTGTCGCCTCGATCTTTTGTACGGCGTTTCAGCGCCAATGTCACCTACTTGTTTTTGATAACTATAGGTGGGGGCGGTTTGCTCACGTGCTCGTATTACTGGTTAAAGGACAATCTCCCACTTTTGATATCGTTTTCGTTTTATTTCGCTAAGTAGGAGTGGTTTGACTGGGGTTCGAATCATTACACGCATTCCTCGGATGGACGCTTCCTCAATGTTGATGACAACCTATTGATTCAGCGTCAGTCGTGATTTTGGTGGAGGCTACGCTTTTCACCTGTGTACATCACTATGAACGTTTGTTCTTTTGTACACCAATGGGGTTCCCGAACCAAGCGTTACTCCGGGAGCCTCATGGATGGGATTTATTACTGCTTCCATCTTGATCTAGTTCGTCGCAGTCCCATCCCATTCACACAGGTTCCCACCCGTCTGGAAAGCACCAGAAAGCTGTTTCGACCCTTTAGGTCTCGTCACTGGTGCACGTTCCTCCGACTGCTCCCTGGTTCCTACCACGAGACCTCCGAATGCTAGCAACTTGTCCCATTAAGCCATGAGTGACAACGGCGGACCTGCATGACTGGCAGTTGATTACGATACAACGATGATCATCCTCCACTACTGTGTCAGTTACGAAGTGTACCAAAGACAGTGGTTGTCAGTCATGTATGTCCGCCGCCGTCACCCATGGCTCAATGGCACAAGCTGCTAGCATCAGGAAGTTATGAGGTTGGAATCCGGCGGAGGACTAAGGAACGCATACCACCGACGTGACCCAGAAGGTCGAACCGGCTGTCTGGTGCTTTTCCAGACGTGTGGGAACCTGTGTGGCCGAGAGGTAACTGCGATAAATTGCTCCAAAAATTACCCCCAAATCCCCACTACCCATTAGTAATCCTATTTTGTCGGCTGGTGGCCTAGTGGATTTGGCGTCTATTTTGTGATCCTTAGGTCATCAGTTCGGACATGTGTAATTGCGTGTGAGACCTCGCCGTATCCCTAGTCCTCACGCGACTGGTCGGGATCGCGTGACGGCAAAGCGTTGGGACGACGTGGTGTTAATTCCCTTCGGTGGCCTAATGTTTCGACGCTTGCCGGCAAGCGACAATGTTCGGGGTCCAATTCGCACCTTGGACTATCCGTCCCTGAAAACTCGACGGGTGGACCAAAGGAGCAAGCATTTGCCCTGTAATCCGGAAGTCACTGATCCGAATGCACGTAGGTGCGGGCGACCTCAAGGTATAACTAGTCGTCGCGCGGCAGGGACGCGTTGATACGATTTGTACGGTTACATACCGCTGCGCAGTGCAATGTTTCGAGTGAGTAACCGTGAAGCAGCTTTAACTGCACCCTACTTGTTTCCATCACCATTGTTGGCCCTAGTTTAGTGCTTGGTTAAGC